GTGCTCTGGCACGCGCGTGCAAGATCTCCGCGGTCTGAGCGTGCTCCGCCGCCCGCGGCTCCCTCCCCCGCGCGCCCCCTTTCTTTTCTCTTTGCGCCTAGCCTGGTTTCTCTAGAGGAGGATTGTTCAAAAATAGTTTTGGGACCATTTTTTGACTATTATTGATCATCTTCGGAGTACTTTTGGTTAGTATTTTTGAGTTCTCGTCCAAAATCGGCCTGTAGGGGGACAGGCCCGACTTGAGCCGAGCTAGGCTCCGAGGTGTCCCTCGGCTGTCCCCACCGCGTCTTGGGCCCGAGTCGCCGCTGGCACATACGTGTCAGGCTCCAGGGCCAGAGCGCCTTGAGGGACGGCCGGCTGGGTTCCGGATACCATTCACATGGGAAGCGTGACCTGTGAAGTCTCAGGCGACCAGAGCCGGCGCGCGGATGGGCGAGTGCGAACAGGGACGTCGTCGGGGGGGACAGGAGAGTGTCATCCACACTGAGTGATCGTCGGAGTTGGAGGATGAGGTGGATGTGGAAGTGGATGGGGAGGAGGGAGGGGAGGAGAAAGGGGAGGAGGGGGGTGGGCAGGGGGAAGGGGTTGTCCGAAACCGAGCGATCTTCATTCACGCAAAGTCGGACGCGTCTGAGTCTGACTCCTCTTCAAGGAGCGGGGAGTGCGGGAAGAGGTGTGGGAGAGGGGTTTTGGGGGAGCAGGACGAAGAGGGGAAGGGGGACGGAAGAGGGCTACCACCAGCCAGCCTGCCTTCAGCGTCGAGCCTCGGGAGGAGGGGGAGGAAGAGAGGAGTGGAAGAGGGATGATGTGAACGGAGCTGGTCGATGATGATGATGATGATGATGGTGATGATGATGATGATGATGATGATGATGATGATGATGATGATGATGATGATGCTGACGACGACGATGATGCTGATGATGATGAAGACGACGACGATGATGATGATGATGGTGGTGATGATGATGACGATGATGATGATGATGATGATGACGATGATGATGAGGATGATCATGATGATGCTGATGATGATGCTGCTGCTGCTGCTGATGATGATGATGATGATGATGATGATGATGAGGATGAGGAGGAGGAGGAGGAGGAGGAGGAGGGAGAGATGAGGTGGATGGGGAGAGGCAATATTTATAGTGATGACGATGATCACGACGATGTTGAAGTTTGGTTTGTGATCTCAAGAATCGGTGTTGTTGACCCCCCCTCCAGTGCCATTTTTTTCAAAATCATCCTGTGGTGTTGGGTCCTCGTTTTGAAGAGACGGTCCCCGCGTTCCTCCTTCCTCCTTCCTTCCTCCCCCCCCTCCTCCCTCCTCCCTGCGTTTCACCCACCCAGTACAGCGTTTCGTGGCCTCATAGGGAGCTCCACCGAAGCCCCCAGTGGGACCGTCCGGGACGCATGAATTTGGCATTTTCACCCACCCAGCACAGCGTTTTGTGGCCCCATAGGGAGCTCCACCGAAGCCCCCAGTGGAACTGTCCGGGACGCATGAATTTGGCATTTCCACCCACCTAGTACAGCGTTTCGTGGCCCCATAGGGAGCTCCATCGAAGCCTCCAGTGGGACCGCCCGGGACGCATGAATTCGGCATTTTCACTTATCTAGTATAGTGTTTCGTGGTTTCACAGGGAGCTCCATCGAAGCCTTCAGTTGGACCGTCCGGGACGCATGGATTTGGCATTTTCACCCACCCAGTACAGCGTTTCGTGGCCCCATAGGGAGTTCCACCGAAGCCGCCAGTGGGACCGTCTGGGACGTGTGAATTTGGCATTTTCACCCACCCTTTACACCGTTTCGTTGCCCCATAGGGAGCTCCACCGAAGCCACCAGTGGGACCGCCCGCATGCGTCCCACACGCCAAACTTGGCATTTTCACTCACGCAGTCAGCTTTTCGAGGCCCCATAGGGAGTTCCACCGAAGCCCCCAGTGGGACCGCTCGCATGCGTCCCCCCCCCCCCCCACACACACACCTAATCAGGCTTTTTCACCCGCGCATTTCAGCGTTTCGTGGCCCCATAGGGAGTTCCACCGAAGCCCCCAGTGGGACCGCTCGCATGCGTCCCACACGCCCAATTTTGCATTTTCGCCCACCCAGTACAGCGTTTCGTGGCGCCATGGGGAGCTCCGCCGACGCCCCCAGTGGGACCGCCCGCATGCGTCCCAAACGCCCAATTTGGCATTTTCACCCGCCCAGTACAGCGTTTCGTGGCCCCATAGGGAGCTCCACCGACGGCCCCAGTGCTACCGATCGACTTCTGGCCTCCCATCGCCCCCCCACTCCCCACCAGCTCAGCTCCCCGCCCCCCAGCCTCCAGCATCCGACTTTCCACTTCCACCTCCACCTATCGACCTCAAACGTCCACCAGCTCAGCACTCCGACCTCCAGCCTCCAGCATCCGACTTCGCCCAGCATCCGACTTCCATTTCCACCTCTACCTTCCGACCACCAACCTCCAACTCAGCGCTCCGACCTCGAACATC